AGACTTGAAAAAAAGCGCTCTATGAGTACAGGTCATTTACCATTTAAGATGTTTGAAAGGGGACAGTACTAGAAGTTTTTTTTTTGTCCTTCTGTCCTTTTTTTGTTCATTGAAAAAAAGGAATATTTTCGCTTTTCTACTGTTTTCCTCATTGTTTCTATGGGAAAATGAGAAAAGGTAAACAAAGTGTTATATGTTGTTATACATGAACAAAATAAACAACAACGAAAAACCCCACTATATATAGGCGCTGCCGAAAAGAACATGCATTTCCCTAAAAATGTGCAGTAATCTGGTTAAAAATGCAGCAGGATCCCACTACTGGGGAGATACTGGGGCTAAATATATAATATAGGAGGGCTGTTTATTAAAGGAAATTAGTAAAAACTTAATTTTTATATATGCAAACCAAGAAGACTTTCCTAAAAAAAAGAATTTCCACTTCAAAATTATGTAAATCTGTGTTTATCCAATAAAGCATCTCGATAAAAACAACAATGTTAGAGCAAATCAAATGTGACAAAATGTTAAAAAAAAAAGTTCAAGGTTTTCCCATTGTATTTTCTGTGTTAGCAATTCTAGAAATTTTGTGTTGAACACTAAAACACACACTTTTGATTTAACATAATTTAAATAAGAAAATGTAATTAAAGCCACACAGGTAAGAGATGATTACATCAGACAGGTTGGCATCTGTCATCTTTTGGTTTTTAATTAGAAGCCTGTCTCTTGTAATAAAGAGGTGAGACGATTAATTAAAAACAAAGACATCTGCTTGTTGGAACTCTGGATTTATAATGGAAAAAAAAAATCATTCATGAAAAAAAAAATTGATCTTTTGTTGACACTTTTGTTCTATAACAGTATTATACTAAAATCAATGCAGAAGCTTTCATTATGAGCAACAGCTCCCCCTTGTGGTTTCCTATGTATACTTACTTCCAGCTTTGACCTATTCTGGGATTCATATGACTGAACTTGTCCTTCATCGTCTTACAGAACAGGTGGCTGGTATCCGAGGGGCCGACCACTTTAACGCATGAATCCTCAAACACGCAAAGAACGCCTGTGAACGACGAGGACTCAGATTTGCAGATCTGAACCAGTTTCCTCTTATCAAAGAACTTATAATTGTCATAAAATATGCTGTGAACTCTGAGTTTAGATCGCCAAAATTCAATAAAAGCTTCCAGGTTTTCCACGGCGTAGCTGAAATTCTTTGCGGCCTGCTTCTCACTCAGGGTTATCCTCACAAGCTCGTTTCCTTCTATATCTTTAGTAGAAATGTCAACACCATTCAAGCACTTATTTAACTCCTGAAAGTGAAATTTTTCAATGTATCTAAATGTGTATAAGTCGGCCCAAATGTCCTCGGAGGTCTCTGCGTTGCTTGCAGAGCTAGTCGAGCCTTTTTCCAGGTGGTTCTGAGGGGACTTCCTGTTCCTGGACGGTTCCAGTAAGCGTTTGGAGAACGTTCCTTCCACAGGGAGCCGTCGGAGGCCTGGTGAGGACAGCATTCCTGCTCCCATTTCCTCCCCATCTGCTCGTCTGAAGCTCCCTCCGGCTAAACTCTCATTAGGATCTTTCTGCCTGAAGGAAGCTTTCGGACCTGAAGTCAGGATTCGGACCTGTCTTGCTTCATCTGCGCGGAGCAGAGACTCTGAGAAGCTGCTGGGATTTGCTGCTTGCTGCTTAGCTTTAGTGCCTCTGTAGTTTCTTAGCGTATTCTCAGATGCTAGCAGGCTTTCTCTGGGTTTTACATCAGCAGTTTGCGATGGGGGTCTGAGGCGGCCGGCCCGGGAAAGCAGGTCTTCTCTGAGGGCCCGGATGGCGGAGAAGGGACCCTCTATGGAGGCCCCGCTCCCTGCGGGTGAAGCATGGAAGTGGATGGATCTGTGAGCTGATTGCAGACTCTTGATCAGAGAGGCCTGGTCACTGCCGAAAACGGAGAGGTCCACCGTAGCTCTGGGGACGTACAGAAAGACCTGCAGCAGCAGAAGACGTCTGGATCAGGACCTCATGTGTTAAAGATGAAAGCTATTATCAGGTTTTGGAATTGATGTTGAAATGAACCGAGCTTACATCTGAGCTGAAGGGAAACACAGTGAGACGGTGGTTTGCTTTAAACTCCTCGTCCATCATGACGTGCTGATCCTTTCTCGCCACGCGCTCTGCATCTGTAAAGAGTTTTCACCCATCTGTTAAAATCTCCACTTTTTTGACTCCACTCATGTTTGGAAACTAAAATACGATCATGCAACAGAGTAAAACAAATAAGAAAATCATTAAGTGGGCGGAATATGGTTTAAACGTCATTAAAAAGATTAAATCTATTGCATTTACTCACAGCAGATAGATCTGGGAGCAAGCTACAAAGATTACAGCAGAGTTAGGTTAATAAAAACAACACAAGAAGCTTTGAATATCTCACAGAGCCTCATTTAATCCGTTATTCAGAAGTAGAAACGGTAACGGCCCGGAAGGAAGATCTACCAATCATACATTTTAGAGGCTAACTGGAGGATCTGCAAAGATCCATGGCTCAGAGTTGGCTGGTAGAATTGATTCTGTTGCATCATTGAGCGACGTAGAAACTTATGTGTTTATTTAAAGTTGATAGAGTTAAATACAGCGCTACCGTGTAGGAGATGCACATCAGACAGAACAAAACACCTGAAAGAAACAGGCAGTTACAAAAGCATGATTTATATCACAAAATTAGTTCAGAACCTGTAGAGGTTCCAAATCACTAATAGAGCAGGCCATTTTAAGATTTAATCACATGAAAAATAGACTGTGGCGATAACATGAAGAAGTAAAAGGGGGATGATTACTTATAAGTTGTTTTTTCCCATGAAGAATGCAAATGTCTACATTAGAAATGAAACAATTGGATTAATTGATTATTGAACTAGCTGACAGAGCAAGATTGTAAAAAATATATAAACATTTCGCATTTAAGATAAAAAAAATTTTTTTTTTGTCAGTCAATATGTTTTAGCTCCACCTGTTTTCATTTTTTAAAAAGATCTTCTTTAAGGAATCTTTGGTTATCCAGTTATTACTCGAAAAAATAATCGACAGATTAATCAATTTGCAAAATAATTGTTAGTTGCAATGCTGCCTTGCAGCAATAAGGTTTCGGGTTCGATTCCTGGCCCGTGGTTTTTCTGCATGTTCTCCCTGAGCATTCGTGGGTTCTCTCCGGATACTCCGGCTTCCTCCCACAGTCCAAAAACATGACTGTTAGGTTAATTGACTTGTCTAAATTCTCCTTAGGGGTGAGTGTGTGTGAATGGTTGTATGTCCTGTTTGTCTCTGTGTTGCCCTGCGATGGACTGGCGACCTGTCCAGGGTGGACCCTGCCTCTCGCCCATTGACAGCTGGAGATAGGCACCAGCACCCCTCGTGACCCCACTTGAGACAAGCGTGTCAGATAATGGATGGATGGATTGTTAGTTGCAGCTCTAGTCTACATGGATCTATTGCTCCTTATGTGTTGTTCTGACATGCTTAATCCCAAGTGGGCTCACGAGGGATGCTGGCGCCTATCTCCAGCTGTCTACGGGCAAGAGGCGCATGGTCGCCAGTCCATCGCAGGACAACACAGAGACAAACAACCATTCAAGCACACACTCACAACTAAGGAGAATTTGATTATCCTATCAGTCATGTTTTTGGACTAAGGGAAGAAGCTGGAGTACCCGGAGAGAACCCACGCATGCTCATGGAGAACATGCAAACTCCATGCAGAAAGACCCTGAGCGGGAATCGACCTCACAACCTTCTTGCTGCAATGCAGCAGAGCTACCCACTCTGCGACTAACATAAAGGCCTCATCTGTCTGACCAATTTTTGCGCTCCACTCAATTTTTCGTAATCCAGATGCTAAAAATTATCAGAAATGCTGTTTTTGCGTTTCTAAAAGTAAAGGATTTTATACCTTTATACAGTTCCAGGTGGACTTCTATTAGTCTTTGCAATTGAGATTAACTGAACACAATCTGAACTTCTTAAAGTGCCTCTGGTGCGCCCCTCTAGATTGCTGCCCTGGGTGAATGCCCCATTAGTAATTAACTTTATCAATATGGCGGCAACTTTAATCTGCAGGATGCTTTTATTTATAGTCAGTAGTTCCGGGTTAAAATGGAATTTAGATACTTTCACTTTTCCCCTCTAAACAGGAAGAATAATGTAAGCTCATAAAATTACAGAAAATACCTTTATTTTGTAGAGAATAATAATCGTTTCGCTCCCAGAGTGAGTTTAAAGCTCAATAAAAGCAGCTAATTCACCTTCAGCTCTGTCGAAAGTCACGAAGGCTACTCCGTTCATGCTCGTGGGGTATTCCACGACCTCCACGTCTCCTCCGTGACTCCTCCTGCGGGTCTGAAAGTGAATAGTCAACTTGTCGACCATCCTGCTCGGCTCCAGCTCGCTGGGCACCCCGGAAACGACCACCTTCCTGCGGCTCTCCGCCATGGCTGCAGTCATGGAGCCCAGCAATCCGCGGTTGGCGCGTTTTTCCCCTCACACGCTAGGGACGCTTACCGTTGCTATAACCACTCAAATACTCGGACTGTTGTTGCTTTTAGTTTCATTTTTAAACCAAGTGGAATAACTGGTGCTGTACCAGTAGCAAACGACCACTAGATGGTGCCGTTTACCAGCATTTACTGCTGTAGGACGGTAGTTTATCCACTAGGTGTCTCTGTTTACCCCAAACTGAGCCGCGGGTTTAGACGACCAACAAAAAGGCTAATTTAATGTCTTTATTGATCAAAATAAACAAAGCAGGAAGATTTATTTCCATGCCCAGAGGTAGAAAGCCCATAAATGTACCTTTTCTTAACCCAAACTTTGGAAAAATGTTTAAATAACCTGACTAAAACTGTCAATATGTGTGGTGCAAACATTTATTAAAGCCAAACAAACCAGAAAAACAAGTTTGAAAAACCGTAAACAGAAAAAAACTCTTGTTTCACAAATTAAGCCAAGAGTGACACACTTGATTTGCATTTTAATTGTGCATATAAACATTTTAATGTAACCATATAAAACAAAGTAGCCTGGCGAGTGCAAACCGGTATAGGAGGAAGGGTCATTAACAAAAAAATAAAAATAAAAAAAAATAATAAAACAGAAATCCAGGCTGTCTGATACAAATGAAATCTTTCACTTTGATTACTTCAGTGCAAATGCAACATTCACTGTGTTTGATGGTTCTTTAAATAAATCAGGTAGCTCTATATTCAGTGTTTAAACATTGTACAGCTGCTACTTGGGAGCGATCTTGTGTATCTAACAGATTAAAAAACTAGTTTGATAAACTTAAATGTTTTATTTAGAAATTGGGCAAATTGAAAAACAAAGCAGATGTGTTGTGATGTCATCACACTCCGATACCTGCCATCACAAGAGACATGAGCTGGCTAAGAAATACTCTAAAAGAAAGGCTTAGAACTGAAAGGTAGATTTGTTGAACTCTTTGCACAAACCTGTCAACCAGGGAGAAACAGAAAAAAAAAAGCTAAAAAATAAAATAAAAGTCAACATTCACAACTCAAATATCGGATACTTTGATTTGGACAGTATTTGGGAGACGGTCCAGACTGAGGCAACAGAGGTTCATGTCGCCTTCAAGGCGCTCAGAGATCCTAGCAGCTATGAGCTGGCCTTGTCCGAGTCACGCCGCTCCCACCCTTTGAATACAGAGCTAGTTCTGAGTTTTTAAAGTGGCGTGCTTGGCAAAGGTATCACGGCCAGATGTCCTCCAGGAACGCCTCTGCTCGGGTTGAGATGTCAGACGAATGCTGGATTCATTTGCTTCACAGAGCTTCCGCCGGGATCCGGTGGGAGTCTGTGCAGCATATCCCCGCCGGAGGACGTGTCATTTCCAGGGGCTGACTTCTCACTGCGGACACACAGAACAGCACTGTGAGCAGCGGAGCTGGTAAATAAAACTACTGTCATGGGTGAAGAGAAGGATCGGAGCTGGACCATCGGGGAGGCTTAAGATGAACTGCTGCTGTCAGCTGGATGGCCGGCTGAGTTTCCTCAGAGAAAAAGCAAAAAAAAAAAAAAAAAACCTTGTTGCATTCTTATAAAAACGATAAACTAGGAAAAAAAAAAGCATTGAATTGTTGACGGCGGCACCTGATTTAAGAAGATATCTCAGCAAAAAAGGTAATAAAACAGCACATTTCTTTCAGAAAAATAATGCCGGGGCTGCAGGTTCTATCGGCAGGTGTGATTTCTGCCTCGTCTGTAATTTATTCTGCTTACATTCACCGACAGATGCTTTTTTTTTCTCCCCCCCAACCACACCGGAGCGCAGCAAACATAATCTGACAACAAGAAAAGTGATGCTACTTCACTAAATCTGCTAAATTGGCATCAAAGCAGCTGGTTTTTAATCCGCCTCATGGTTCCTGTCAGAAAAGATGCTGCTTGTTGAGATGTTTGTGCAGAAAAGCTGAAAGATGGTTGGAAATATTGAAGCCCTGGACACGTTTAGAAAGCATATCTGGCTTTTTATTTGCTTGATGTATAATAAAAAGGGGGAAACATAGGAGAACATTCCCATTGTTCTGTATGGTGAGGGACCTGTCATGCTGTGGGTCACTTTCTAGGAGAAATGTAATAAACTGAGATGTTTCTATAATTCCTTCATTTTCACTTTGTTTAAAAAAAAATATATTTTCATTTTACCTCCAACTCCCACAGCTGTCATTTTGACGGCTCTATTAGTGGCATTGTAAATTCTTTCTGCGGTTGATTGACGTTTGGTACAGTTGCCTAGCAACCAACATTCTACTGAGAAAACAAACTCTTTGGCTAATACAGAAAAATGGCTTTCAGAAGAAATCTAACAGCGAAACAGGCTTTGGAAATGCTTCGAAATATTGATGGCAGCGATTGCGGGTGGAGCGGGAGAGATCGACGATGACGACCGGTCGGTAGGAAGCGTCCATCTTTTACAATAGTTTAGACATGGCAGCTATAAACACGTCGGTTTTGTTCAGGAGCTGCTTGAACGTCACCGTCTCAAGCAGAGGTCTCATCCTTGATGTGGTGAAACGAATGCGTGCCAACCACATGTGCTTTGGCGAAGCAAAGATAACACTGTGAGGAGCTTCAGCACTGAATGCACAAAAAAAAACTGCTCATATGTTTATTATGAATGTAAAAAGGTGATGAAATGTGCCGGAAGAATCCATTTCTGTAAATAAAATTGTAATTTCAAACTTAACTTGTGCATTAAAAGTCTTACTTATTTTACAGATTTATTTTAATACAAACTTAGACTATAAATAATAATGGCATACCATACAGCCTTTAAAGATATATATATATTAGCATGTTTAAAGGTCTAGATACAAAGAATGAGTTTATATGGCGCATTGGAACCATTTAAGTCGATGACATCATCACTGATCTTGCATTGGGAACATGTCCTCTGTCAAATTGATGGACTCCTGGGAGTCCTAGTGTTAAAGAAAACCTTCACAGATCTTTATGAACGGTGTGATAAAAATCAACCCCTTCCATCTAAAATCTCAAAGACTAAACGTACACTGAGGTCAGAAGAGAGAGGTTTTCTGCTGGACTTCCTCCCATGACCGCTACGCCAAACTCCCAGAGGACCCTGAGAAGGTGGAGAACATCCGTTAGGCTATAATAATTCAGTTGAAGGAGTTTAACCTGATAAAAATGGGGGCTTTTACCTGGTGTTTGGTTACCATGTGTGCAGTGTGCAGCAGCGGAGGTCTGATGGAGGGCTTGTACTGCAGAGGCTGACCCAGTAGAGAGTACTGCGTTTCACCTGGAGATCAGAGCGAAAACAAAATCAGCCACAATCCCAGGATGAAATGGAAGAAGTTGTTCAGACGCGACTGATTCGGACCTTGTCCAGTGTGGATGAAAGCTGTGGGGAGCTGCGGATGGTGGGACAGCATGGGGATGGGGGAGACGCCTGATGGTAGGCCCTTGATGCTGGGCGAGGGAGTGAGCGCCGGAGACGAAGGCAGGCTGCTCTACACACAACACGCCGGCGGTGCAGAGGGAGGAAGCAGAGAAACACACAAACACTTTCATTAAAACAGAAAAAAAAAATAAAGAAATCAACTCCTCCAACTACTTTTACAAAGTCATTGTGATGTTCAAGTGGTTGCTTTAATGTACCATTACATCCACATTAGTCCCACTAACGTACCATTACACCCCAACGCTAAGGACTATTTTCTCCTCATTTTCAGGTTTCGGCAGCGCCGGCTTCATTTGCGCAGCCTATTTACGGCGACATTTAACCTGCCCGCCACGGCGGAGGGAGAGACCGAGTCTGGCTCAAGGCGACAATTCTCCAATCACTGTCACACTCACGCAACCAAAATAAATTAGCTTTTAAATTGCTTTCTCGACACAGTCTTAAACTTGCAGACATGCAGCATGTTGTTCTCTTAGCTGCGCAAAAACCCACCGGTGGGAATGGCTGGAAAATTGCAGCTGACGGATCGGAATCAGAGCCGCTGAGCTAATTACACCTTGTCAGAAGTTCAGGAAAGACATTAAGAGGGATGCGTGCCTCCAGCTGGGCAGGGTTTGTTACCTGGGTGTTATCGGGAGTCGGAGGGAGCTCGGGGGGCCTGCGGCCGTGCTGCTGCTCGGCGCCTGAGTGTTTATGGCCGGACTGCTTCCTCTGGCAGGGGGAGGGGGCCCGGGGCTGCGGGCACAGCGGCCCCATCATCTGAAGCATCACCATACCTCCGCCGTGCGCCGATGGTAACAAACCTGGATCCACACAGATCAGAGCAATCAGTTGGAATCTGTTCAGCTAAACACCTGATGACTGTTTGCTCCTCGGGAATTAATAGTTTCAGGAAGTTTCAGTTCCTGAAAAATCCTCCGTGATTAAAGACTAATTAATTAGACATTAAAGGAGCTCCAACGATCGCATTAATTAATGCGTGTTTACCTTTAGCTCACTTTCTGGCTGGAAGTCATTTAGTAAACTTGCACACTGTTGAATTATGAAATTACTCTTCTCAACGGTAAAGAGACGAGAGATATTGGGACATAATCTGCAGATTATAACCAGCGCCGCCAATTAAAAGTGTTTACTGGTCACGCTGCAGGTGAGACCTTCATCTGACCTAATTACTGGCAGACTGGAAAAGATGGCGTCCTTCTCTGTGCTTGCAGAATAATCAGACATGAATAATAAAGGTCATTACTGAGAAGCCTGTGAATCGGAACATTTAAGCCATTTTTAATTTTAAAATATATATTTTAAATATATATTCAGAAAGGCAATTAGACCAAAGAGACAAAACAGTTCAGAAATATTTAGCGATAGTGCCATGACACAAAACAGCCACAAGGTGGCAGTAAGATTTTTCCTTTTTTTTTCATAAGTAGAAAAAAATAGCGTAGCTCTAAAATATACATAAAAACCTACAAATTATAGCAATTAAAATAGGGTAAGAAGCAAAACTAAACAAGCATTGTGTTAAAATCTTTTTTTTCCTTTTTTTAATAAATATTATCGTAGATGTTTATGATACCTCTCTAGTTCTATATCGATACATGATGTTGGTTTTAAAAAAAGTAAAAATTAAACAACTAAAAACGTATATAAATGGACAAAATGGTTGGCTCTTTATAAACTGCTGCAGATCATTTAGATTCTTACTTTTGTGACCCGTTTCATCACAAACAGAACCGGAGCAGATTAAATATTGAGAAGAGCTGTGATTATTCTCTTCAGATGACCTCATAGGCTTCATGCTGACAGAACACTTCCCCCTGGTGGCAGAAATGTGCAACAACAAGCAATCTGAAAACCTTTTCTTATGTAGGTTTAGAAGCATCGCTTAAACTGACTGAGCCTGCATCCATCAAAGATCTCATCTCGTCTGATTATAAAGATGATTGCACTCTGGACAATATAATAATTACATATTTTTAATTAAAAGAATCTGCTGCGGAGGTTTCATCTATATTCCTGCTGGGCTTCTTTAGAAGTTTTATTTATTCCTGCAACTTAAATTTTGACTTACTCTTCCCAACTATACTATACATCACGCATTTCACTACAGCAATGCCAGCAACTCCCACTCTGAGGAGTAATTTGTTGCTTTAGCAGCTTTTTTTTTTTCTTTTCACTGCAGCAATCTGTATTTTAACTGACTTGATGTCAGCAGAACATTTTCAGTGGGCGATGGGTTCGGCTATTTCATCTCCGTCCAGCACTGGAAAAAAAAGAAAAAGGTTCTCGTGCCAATCGCTTCGCCTTACAGACCCTCCAGGGGCCCCGTCATCACTTCGCCGCCCCTCTTTTTCATTTTAAAAACCCAGAGAGGAAACCTAATTATGTGTTGCCGCGCAAACAAAGCCTAAAGTAAGCCGGGGAGGGATTATTTCATTACTGAATGCAGCATGGTGGCTGTGCAGGAATGCAGTTTGCAGGTTATTGACACAAAGAAATGGGGGGAAATAAAGTGTGTTGGAGAGCTGGCAGTGATGGGGGGTCTCCAGGGTGGCTCGTGTCAGAAGATGAGAATATTCCTCTCTTCGCTTCGTGATCCTACTGTAGATGGGTGGGTTTGAAGGCTCAGCTACCTGCGTACTGTTGGCCTGGGTGTTGCTGGGAGACGCAGGGAGACGAGCTCTGAGGAAACTGGAGCGGCTCGATCATGGGGGCGGGCAGGAAACTCACTGTTGAACTGTGAAAGAAGACAGGGATAAACAAAACAATCCAATCAGGTTTCTTTGGAAATTGTGTGCTCCTGTTTCGGACATCAGGGAAAAAACAATAACCGTTTGCATCCATTAAAGGGGGAAATTTTCTAAACATAAGGTACATCTCCAGGAGGTGTGAGATCTTAGAGCTGCAGCTAAGTATTACATCTAAAATGCGAGTCCATCTGGAAAATAAGCTCCCTGCTCTGCAAGCGGCCACCCTGGAGGGACCCGTCTCCAGCTGGTGAAGAAGCAGGCTGCAGGTGGACAGTCGGCCCTCGTGGGAAAAAACACAGAGCCGCTTCGACGCTGCTGCATAAATCATCTCCTTGCTGACTGGCCTACAAACGCAGCCTCGTTTCACAGCTGGGGCAGCGAGGGAAGAAAGTGACCTCTCTTCTCATGCGAGCATTGTTCCTCTGCAGGTGAAGCCGTCAAATTGATAAGCAGCATAGAGGAAGAAACTAATTACACCTTTTACTGTCTGCAAACTAGTTCTATCGCACACCATGAAGGCAAAAAAATAAATAAAGAATAGATGAATAAGAGAAACTGCAAACTTCTCCAGTGACAAATCATACAGCTACACACAGAAAGGCTCTCCAGGAGGAGAGTGCTAATAACTTCATTTTTTCCCCCCTTAAAAGCGAACAAAGAGGATCTTTGCTCTGGAGACTTGTTGGGTCTGTAAAAACACCATTCTGCACTTTTAAATTGGTTTTTGAGGGAGAGCAAACATTAAAACGGAGGTAGAAGGTTTCATCCGATCCTGATAAAAGCATAGGATGCTAAAATAAATCAGTTTAGAACAAATGGATGCTTAAATTTAATAATTCACACAAAGCATGATGAATAAGTTTTCCATTGGGAGCAGCCGTTAAAGATATTAAAATTGCTCAAACTAATAAAGCAATAATGATCTATACAGCGGGCCGCTATTATAGAGCTTCCAAAACAGAGGCAGCTCAGCGGCTATAACTGTGATTTGCTGAGGCCTTTAGGAGTCAAAGCCAAACATATTCCATCTTTAAGATGCTGTGCATTTCTACATGCAAGCAGCTAATGCATTGGATAAGTAATAGAAACGGCTACGAAGAAATAAAAGGGTGGAGGGGTACCTCATGGTGGTGTGCTGGTTTCTGGGGAGCAGGCTGTAGCAGGGCTGCATGCCAGAAACAGCCACTGCCCCCTGCCCTGGCTGGCAGGACACAAACACTTCTGTCTGCTGCGGAACAGAAACCTGCTGCAGAGAAACAAACAACAAAATCTCATAAGAGCTCAGAAAGTCTATGTGAGGATGAAGTCTGCGCTCATTTCTGGTGTTGAAAACGTGACGGCCTGAGCTGAGCGGCTCGTAACTAAAAAACACAATTTATTTGAGCCAAAATTAAAAACCTCTCGTAGAGGAGTGCTGGCAGATCAAAGTACCTGATAAGACTGCATTGGAGGGTACTGGACCATCATGCCTTGCATCTGGTTGGCCATATTGCTTTGCTGGTTGCCAGTGAGAGCAAGGCTGGCGGTTGGCTGCACGCCCACTACGGTCTGGTAGCTGGACGCTGGGTTTGGCATCATGGCTTGGTGCACTGATGGCAAAAGGACAAAAACAACAGTGTGACCCAATAATAATATCAATAATAATAAAAACTGGTTGTGATTTAGTTGAGAAGCACCTTAAAGTATTTATCCCTCAGAAACTTATTCACATTCTGGCTATTTTAACAAGATTATTTCAAATGTCTAAACTACTATTACTAATTTATCTAAATTCCTTTTAGATGAATCGCTCCCGCAGCATGACACCGCCACTGTGTGAGCCATGTTTTCCTCCATGCATTGCTTTAATCCGTGTCTAATTTCACATACTAAAACGAAACAATGAATATAAATACTTCTACAAGAAGCAGCAAAACCCTTAAGGTGTTTGTTGGCGTCGAGTGAGAGATTAGCATATTAAAACCCGACGAAGGAACATTAAGGTTACTGTAGAGTGAGAACAATGGAAGAAGTGGAGCCGTTTCTGCTGAACAGGTTTGCTCAAAGCCAATATATTTGATTTAGCCGGGGGTAGCGTGAGCCTGTGGAGTGAGTAATGGATCCGGTCCTCGATGGGGAATAAAAAGAAGAAACTTCACTTCAGATGAAGTTATTTGGGAGCGGGGCTGAAGACAATGATGCACAAAAGATGCTGCAAAGTCATGAAGGGTAAAAAAAAAAAAAAAAAAAAAAGACTTAAATGTCAAGGTGACAAGAAAAAGAAGACGTTTAGAAAAACTCCTCCCCTCCTGTGCCCCATATACACAGGAATCCAGGTGACAAAAGGAGAGGCCGTCCTTTTGTGAAGGTGTCTTTACGGCCCGGCGCTTTGGGAGAAAAGTACAACTAGACAATGAGAGAGCTCCACAAGGAACCGGAGCGGCCAGGACTATTTTTATCCGCCCACTCCTCCCACCTTCACTCCCCAAACCAAGCATGAAATGACCCTCAGATGAAATGCACCTCGCATTATTCCATTCCAGCAGGCACCAGATGAGCGCAGATTTGTGATTTCCTTTATATTTTCATAAAAACAAGGTAATGAGGAGCAACAACAGAAGCGTCTCTACATCCTCGGTTGAAAAGCTTAGAGCTCAGTGAGCATTTTCCTTTTTTTTCCCTTCCTTGTGCTGGCTGTGTGGCACGGACGCGGTAACGAGGACTTGTTTCCTGAAAGCGTGCTGCGGGGGGGCTGAAAAAGAGACCGGTTCACTGTGAGATTCATAGAGGCCTCTCAGACAGCGTCCCGGCCCCGAATCCCGCCTCCCAAATCTCCGTCATCACATCTTCCAAGCTCGTTTAGACTCTAAACCATCTGCTGTTGTTGTAAGAATGAAATAAGGAAAATAAAACTATTACCTTCAAGGGAAGAAGGTTTGTTTTTAGTGAAGCTGCTGCGGTTTCAATTAACCAATGCTAACCGGTAATAACCTCTCCTTCTTACCTTAGAGGAAAGTCTAAGGAAGACGGATGTGCTGCAGGAAATGTCCATGACAGAAGGTGGTGACTGACTGATGCAATTAGGTGCAAACGGCGACAGGCTCCTCTGCGGGCGTCGGCCAAACCGCCTGAGAATTCCCCACTGATAACTTCTGCATCATATGTGCACTCACACCTTCACCCTCATATCATTATGTATTTCTTTCTCTTTAATTCATGCAAAAAAAATCTGAGCGGAAATGAGCTTTCTGATCTTTTTTTCCCCTTATCATTTCACTGCCTCCCTGAAAAATAATTGCAGTTCTCCGCCTTTGTAGGTCAGCTTCATTTGTCCGCTGCCTATTCCCCGGCTGCCCAGCAGGGAAGCCACATTTGCAGCCCTGAAGATGACAGAATAGTGCCGCAGCCACTTACAGAGACATATGTGCACGTGTGTTTGCACAAACCCCATCCGGCTAAGCAACGGCATGTGTGTCCGTGTGCGCGTGGTTAGAGAGAGGCAAAATGGGAGCTAACAATCCTGACTCCTGTGGTGAAGGAAGGAAAAAAAAAAAAAAAGAAAGGGAATAAACTGGTGGATAACTCCCAGGGATATATCTGAGGCCGTTAAAGCAAGAGAAAAGAAGCCAACAAGGTTTTTTGTCCTTCAGCAGAGCTGTTGGACAGCAGCTATCTTGTAAAGAAACAAAGCAAACGGCGGCGAGAGCGTCGGACAGTCGAGGTCTTCCCAACAAGGCTGATGTTTTTCCTCTCAACAGCAGGACGCAGAGGAAGCAGCGGCTCCTTCTCATCAGAACATCCTTCAGATCTCTGAACCAACTTTGAGCTACGTCTGAACGTCTGAACGACTGTAGTTTTGGACTCATCCTGACAGCCGAGCGGAAACCTGCGGCTAAATCAAAGATGTAATCAAACTCTGGCAGCTAGAAGGGTTTTTATATCGAGGAGGAAAAAAATTAAGTTTAACAAACTTGAAGATACTGAAGTTCTTGTAACGGAACGATACAAAGAATAGTGCATAATTGTGAAGTGGAGGGGGGAGCTGCAAACACTGATAGCTAAGAGGACAGCTGTGTCTTCATGTGAGGGTCACCAATGATCAGGATGGATCTGTGTGGAGTTATAATAACCCTGGGCTTTACCCCAAACACATCACAGCTGCTGTAAAACAAGATGGTGGCAGCGTCATGATGAGGGCTGCCTTTCAGCATTGACAGGGAGGCTGGAAGAAGGAAAATTCGAGCCATTTTGAGACTGCAGCAGATAATGAGACTTTATTGAACCCAGTTGGTGATTTTCCCAGATGCTTTCTGTTCAGTCTGACTTGGATTAAATATTTTTACATGCTTCGCTTTCCCGCTGCTTTACAGTGATGCACTACTTTGTGCGGCTGTGTTTTGTGTAGTTTGTACCTTGCTGCTGTGGCGGGTTCTGGCTCTGAGGGCAGTTATAGGCCAGTTGGTTGAGAGGAGGCCGGTACTGCTGCTGCTGCTGATGGTTGGAGCACTGGGAGTGGTGGGCTGAGGAGCAGTAACATGTAGGCATCTGCTGGAGACACAAAGGACGACTTTAACACATTGGCTTAACTTCACAACTAAAGGATAGAGGACTAGTCGTAGAGATGATTCCTCCTACCTGTTGCACGGGCTGTTGGATGTAAGCGTGTTGCTGCAGCAGGGGCTGATTTAGTGCAGGATAAGCTGCAGAGCCGGCGCTTGAGCCGGGATACGTGTAGTTGGAGCCCGGCGGCGGGAGCGGGACGTGCTGACCCTGCAGCACTCCTGGGTGACCCCCTGATGGCCCTGCCACCATGTAGCCGCCGAGCTGCTGCGGTGGAGCTCCCTGCAGCACCACAGGGGATGGGTGGTTGTACGCGGAGGGGTAGTGATGGCCGTCCGGAGCGGACGCTCTGCCGTCACCGGACGGCTGCTGCGACAGGGTCAGGTGACTAAACTGGGCACCGAGGACGTCAGGCTGCAGGGACAACGCCGCGTTAGAAAAACGCGTGTAAAAACTTGCAAATCAAGGCTGTAATTCAGGCAACATGGACTAATTGGGTTAAAGCCCTCCTTTCTAAAGTCAACTACTGATCCAGATCACCACGGCGAACCAGACCAGGTCACTTCTGACACGCTGGAAGAGTTGTGTTTTCAGTCATGGATTATTCAGAGCTAACATCTGGTGATGAATTAAATATTAATGGAACCTTCCGCCAGCATAATTAGCCACAGAGGCACGTCTTTGACTAAAACCAGGTCAGAAATGAGGTTAAATGAATGCATGATCCACATATGTGGAGAGGAGATACTCCTTCCCACCTCTCTGGCACCGCCGGTAAAGATTGAGCTTTTATTAAGGAAGAATTATCTCACAGTTAAACATCTTATAATTAGGAACTCTCTTTTGCAAAAGGTAAAAATAATCCAAATTTAACCTAAGATAACTCTTGCTGCACTTGTTGGCTACATAATAATCCCTATTTAGTTCATCTAAACATTATTTTATTGGGAAAAAAAAGCAGATCTTTACCTGCATGTCAACTGCAACATGTGCAGAAGGTATGATAAATAACTAAAGCACATAGAGCAAAAAGACCTGGGTCAAAGTAGAGCTCAAAGCACTTCTAGAATTTTAATTCTCTGACTTTTTATTGTTCCCACTTCATTAATATGAAATAGAAGTGCTCAGAGTAAAAGCCTCAATGATCCAGGTCTGTCAGGGGATGGAAAGTGTTTTAAAAATGGAGGAAAGAGGTTCTGTACCACAGTGTATTGTTGGTTAGGATAGACGGGCAGGAACTGAGAAGAAGGAAAAGGAGGATAAGAGACCGTTGGGCTGTGGACAGGCTCAGAGGACGGCTGAAGAGGAGGACAGATTGGCTGAGAGGGGAAAAGATGAACAGAGGGACGGGATGTCAAAGTGGACAAAGGAGGCTAGTCAGCTCAGTAAGAGTCGGTTCAGGGTTAAACAGTCAAAGAGTTAGTGGGGATTAGGGCGGGTAGAAAAGCACGATAATGTAGATTAATATTTGTAAAAAAAAGAGGTGGAAAACAAATGCATCCATGTGCACTGACCTGTGAGTGGATGTGATTGGCCGGCTGCTGCTGGGAGGCTGCAATGATTGGCTGCGGCATGGTTTTCCCCTGCTGTGGGATCCTGCCAGCAGCCGGGTTATAAATCACTGCGCTGCCATCAGGGTGCATGAAAGGCTTTCCTGTTGAAACCAAATCACAGCAGATGAGGGATCCTAGCCATATTAATATATGAAAAAATCCAAACGACCGAGCTGTGGACCGATCCGGGGACACGCCGGGTTGGTCCGAACCGGGCTGCTTCTGATGATCCCTTTGCTCTGCGCCCCCCTCCCCAAGTTCACCGCTCTGCACCGCTCAGAGCCGTGATGCATATTCACAGATCTGGCCCATCTGTTCCTGCATCCTGATCACAGTAAATTTTGTCTTCTAATTTGACAGATTCAGTCATGAATTTTCATTTGGAAATTTGGCTTTCATCTAATGCCTCAAGCTAAAGCTAGGCCAGCACCCGTTTGCTTCGTTGGGGCCCACAAGCCTCACCTGTATGCGGGTTGATCAGAACGCTCCCGGGTGGAATCCCTGAGGCGTCTAGCGGCAGCATGTAGTAGTTCGGCGCATCGCCGGGCGACGGCAGCAGCTGGGAGGGGGCGCTCTTTGCAGCTTCTGGGTGTCCGGGGCCTCTGCTGTTTACGGCACGGTGGGACAGGAGGGCGCCGGGGACGATGGAGCGAGAGGAGGCCGACATTGGGAGAGGCAGATGGGGGCGAGACAGAGAGCTGGAGGAGGAGCCGACGCTGCTGCAAGATTCAGAACCTGAAAAAGAAGGAAAACTATCATCTAATGAGCAAAACTCTGAGGGTGATTAGCACGTTGCTTCTGGCTTCTTCATGTGGGCGCTAATGAAGGAATGTTACTAATAATGCATCCTGACTTCAGGCCACATCAGGCGAATGTTGATGATCCATAATGAAGCTTTCCTTCTGTAATTAAGCTTTTGTATTAATTTCAAACATTTGTGCAAATGACTTCAGTAGTATTTTTCTCTTTTTTTAAGCAGCTGGTTTGTTCATGGACCATTGATGACCTCACTAAGAAAAGAGAGAGATGCAGTGTTGCAAAAAATATTCACCCTGAAACTTCTATGAATCTGTGAGACACATTCTTCTCATCTAACTGTAGCATTAAATCCGATCAAACAAAGAAAGGTTTGAGATCAGAACACATCTGGATGGGAGGGAAGCAGTAGCTTTGTAAACAACTTTAAGCAGCTGCCTTTCAGCGAGAAAAGGCTTCGGGCAAAAAATAAGAAAACATCACGAGAATTGATGTGAGGGAGCGCGCAGGGCAGCTCTGATAATGAAATAAGCCCAGGATGCAGAGCGCCTGTTCTCAGCCAATAAAAGCATGGATGGATCATACTGATGGGGTAAGCATTTACTGGTGGAGAGTGGTCTTAAAGTCTTAGTAACATGCTTCCACTGCTAAACAATGCAGTAAATTGTGGCTTTTTGCTTTTTATTCTGCTGCTCAAACATTTTTTTCCATCCTCTTCCATTACCAGGTTGAAGTGGTGACCAGTTTATCTAACATAATTTGTTCTGATATGATCTCTGCAGCTCTATCTGCTGAATCCTGTTTATTTTTTGCTCACGACTAAAACATGTTGAACGATCCGTCCATCGGAAATAAACGCGTTTTATGGGCGTTTCCATTCTTGCCTGTTTTAGAAAGCTTCCCGGTGCTCCTGCTGCTGGCCGTGCTGTCTCCCCGGACGAGCCCGGGCGAGATGCCGCTGAAGCTGCTGGCCTTGGTGATGGCGGGCCGCGGGGCGAGCCGGTTGGAGCTGTCAGAGCTGTCGGTGCTGCTCCACGGCCGGGGCTCGCCGTGCCGGGGCAGCGTGTCCGTCTCAGAGCTGCTCTGGCGGCTGGCGCCGGAATGGCCGGCTCTTAACCTGGATGGGGAAAAGGGGCGCCATCTTCATTACCGTTTCATTTCTACCATGTTACTACGACAGATCTCAAAATGGTGAACAAGTGTGAACTGGAAGGAAATCTAGTCATTAATAAAAGCCTTCTCATCAGACCAGAGATCATTATTCTACATGTTGGCATTTGCTACAAAACGTTGTCATCTGCGTTCTTTACTTTCCATCAAATCTGAGGCCTTAACAGAACATCTGGGTTCAGGCAGGGATTAGATCACAATCGGCTAGACTCTTCTAATCAGGTGACCCTCCAGTAGAGGGGGAGAAGTGATCTTTATCAAAGATTTAAAAATTCTTTTCCTTTTTCACAATTATAAGCCATTTTGTGTCGACCTGTCAAATATAATCCTGATAAAACAATAAAAAAAAAGTGATATTTTAATCAATCTGGCACAGATGGACTGATCTTCCTTGGTGGAATAATATCTAATTGAATCAAACTGGCCAACTTTTTAGTTTTGTTCCCAGACGGGCACTAAATCCTTCAGCAGAAGCTTTCCAGAAACAAATCCTCAGATCAGCGATGCTTCTCCTGAGTGGGACGATTAAGACAGGAGCTGTGCTTCTGGTTCAGTCTCTCCAGGGAGGACAGACGACAAGAGACGGGGAGGAGGGGGGGGTGGACTTACCTGAACATTTGCCGCCTCTGTTGACTGCTCATGCATGCGTGTTCCTCCTGTGCACTGAAAAAACTGCCAGAGAATACATTCAATGATGTCTGACTCCACTTGTTAAAGATTAAAAGACAAAAAATGATTATAAAATGAAAGATGAATATTATCTGTAGAGCTTTAAGGGATGAAATTTGCTCTAAATAAAAAAAATTAAGTTCTAATTAACGTCTCATGTTAGATAATTGGTGGTTAATGCAAACTTCCTACTTACCCTCGATCTAATAAGAAGTGTTCTCCCTGTAGGTAAAAGAAATATGTTAAAAAACAGGTAAAAATAAAAATCACAATAATATACTACATGTATAAAAGCTATAAAAATGGCTGCTGCACCACCGGAGACCGAATCTCTGTGCATAAATTCATAAAGGCAGCACTAGTAATTGGTGGCAAGAAATCCACTGAATTTGCACATGAATAGATATGACAAAGATTTGTGAAACAAGCTCCCCAAACCCCACACCCTCCCCATCCCGCTCCGCCTACACCAACAGCTCTCACATCATGTGCAAAAATCCTTTCTCTGGCTCGCTGGTACTCCTCCTCCCTCTCCTCCATCGATTTGCTCCTCTTGTCAGCTTTCAAACGCATTCGGATCTGGCAAGGACACACACATACACACACAGAGTCTTCCTTAGCAGCTATGTCAGGGACGCCAGATTGTCTCACTCTTCCCAACATGTCAGAAATGAAAGTGACAGCTTGGGGAAGAAGAGGGAAAAAAAAAATTATACATAGATATAAAATAAAATAATAATAAAAAAGAAAGCCTACCGAGCCGTCTTCACGATCAAAGCTGGCATTGTCTCGTTTGAGAATGTAGCGTTTCTGAAAATCGTCCGTCCTGTCATCCTTGATGTGCTCCGAGAATTTCTGATCGGGTCTGTTGGCGGGTGAATTCACAGGAGTTTTTAGTGGCAGCTTAATTTATTACAGATGCTGACAGCAACATATGCTAAGCAAGCAGCAAAGTTCCCTGCCGGCTGGTTTTAACCAGCCTGCGACTAAAAAAACTCACTAGCAATTAATGAGAACAGGGACCACCAGCGATCTAACCAAAACAATGTTAAATAGAATAAAAAAATTGACTTACATTCTAGTGTTGATGGTTTTGTTGATCACCACTGATTTTCCGCTGGGGTCCACATTGTGGTCCATGCCAAAGTAGGCTGCTACGCGATGCAACAGCATCCTGTGGTAGGACGTCATTGGAGGGAACTTTCTCTTTTGGCTTCTTAAAGCAGAAACGGGGAAAAAAACAACAACAGAAAGTTAGCTTTAAAGAAATTATGCAGCTAGAAGCTACTTTGGAAACAAACAGGAACATGAATTTAAGCTTAACCTTGATGGATTAGTCCATTTTGAACTGAAACCGAGCTTTTCTTTTTTTATACCAATTAGAAAAATATGAATTTCTACTTCTCCTTAAACTGCAGCCTTGATGTCAGGTCAACAAAACTAAATTTGTTTGCACCATCATCACTAGAGGTGAGTATTGGCATGAGTGTTGCGATTCGATACATGTCGCGATACTTGGGTCACGATACGATATTATCACGATATTGCAGTATCACTATATATTGCCATATTTTCCCCAGCTATCAAAATCAAATGATGAGATAAAACAGCAAGTGCTGTATATTTTCATCAGAAAATATTGATTAGGTATTATTATCCATGTTGTTTGGGGTTTTCTTCCACTGTGACTGCCTCAAATACAGATTTGGTGCTGCACGCACAGTTAAAGGGCTCCACAGCACTTTCTGCCAGAGTGGTGGTGCAGAGGTAGCCCATTTTCCCATCAATGTTTTATGTAACTATTTTTTTTTTGAAAATCGATACTAAGAAGTGAAAGATCGATATTATATTGGGCAGCCGAATATCACGATATATCGCCAAAACGATTTTTTCCCACACCCCTAATCATCACCAAGTAAAACTTGTGCAAACCTACTTGGCAGTAAACTTGATTCTGATTTTAAAAAAGCTGCATGCTCAAGATGATCCGATATTAGAGAAAACACTAATATTGAATTCTATCATCTAATACCTCCGATATTCTCATGCTGATAGAAACACTCTGCTTCTGTTAAACATTTCTGTAACTCATTGGTTAAGTTTACACGAGTTCCCTGTTTTGGAAATATTACTTGATCATAGGGCTGGGCAATGAATTTAGAAAAAATGCAATTTTAAAATCACAGAGGCAATCAATTTTTAATTGCAATTCTTTTAACTAGAGCAAGATGCTAAATTTCTCCCTCCAGACCTTTAGGTGGCAGTAATACAATTAAGCAGATATGCTGTGACACAGAAGGGAGGACATGGTCGCAGCTAGCACATAGATTAATGCATTATAGTAGAACTGAGAATTTGTTTCTGTAAGTTTAATGGAAAGGCCTTGCAAACCAGACTCTAGACAATTAGACTTTCCAAGTCATGAAAGACTGACACCCTGGAGTAAAACTTTGACATGCTTGTGCTTAGTGCAAAAGAATCTCGCAATAGAATTGCAACATTGGTTGAAAATATTCGCAATTTAGATTTTTTTGCAAATTTCAGCCCTACTTGATCAAGACATCCTAACACTCTACAGTATAAAATAACTATAGAAGCTGGTATGACTTTGGCTAATATCATATCAATATCTGTATTGGCCAATTCTTTAAGTTGTAGGGAAGCAGCTGTTCCAAACGTTGTATTTCCGAATTCTCCTGAGTGTTGCGCAACTTTACAAGAGTGAATAAAGTGAAGGTGATTGGTCGTTTGTCAAGGGGCGGGACTGTTGTGGCAGAAGGTTTGCAAGCAAGTTTGGTTTGTGGGCGGTGTCTCGGAAGAATCTTGCTAACCAGTTAACAACTTCGTGCTAGTAGGTTCCCAAAAGGAAATTACATTGGGACCAAGTAGCACTTAGAAACGACACTGTCAAGGAACGCTATGGACAGAGGAAACATGCAAGAGGAGAAGAGTGGGAACGAAGTTGTTGTGGAAGAGGACGCCATGGCGGCAGAAGCTTGGTTTGGCGTAGAAGGCTTACAGCTGTACATGTTTGAACCCTTGCCTCGCAACGCTGCCAGTTCTGTTAGCTCTACGCCTGCCGAAGACGTTCATCCCCGTATACACTGGGACGGAACTCAATGGGAAAGTAAATTATTCTAATTTCTTATTTCAATTGTTACGTATATTAGCTGCGACATATGAATCAAGATGCTATCACCGAAAAAAAAAATTGATTGACAGATGACCATTGATATATGATTGGCCCAATTTAGGTGCAAATGCTGACGTATAACTAACTTGCTTTCGTAAAATAACGACAAAAAAAAAAAAATACCCCCACAGATTTTAAGACAGGATTTTTTTTTAAATAGAAATTTTCTAACTGTTGGGACAATACGGTCTGATAAAGAGTACATTTATATACATGTTTAAGCTAGAATGATTTTAAATTTAAATATGACTTCCCTACGACTTTAAAGATGCAATAATGGTATCACATCGGAAATGCAAAAGTTGTATTGGGGTATCCCTAATGGAAATAAAATGGTTGATTTAGGCCACCATCTGATCAATCAGTGCATCCCTTTATGCTTCCAGGTGAATTGTGACAAGATGAAGCCAAACCTAAACAGGGCAGTTACAGCCTAAAGTAGCCCTCGATGTAGCCATTAGCTTAGCTTTAGAATCTGCTGCTTAGAGATCGAGCAAATCATTTGTTCAGTCAATATTTACATTTATTTTCCTTATATTGTTATCAGCCAATAAATGCATCCGTTGGCTGATTGACTGGAGCATTCAGCAGCCATGCCTTGAGGTCACATCAAGGAGATGCATTAGCTATTCACTGTTAAGGTTTTATCTAATCTGTTAATAATGTATTTTTGTGTAAACTGAGAATTTTTGTATCATGTTTCATGGAAATGGAGGAAGAAAAGTAATATTGGCTACAAGAATCTGTCCAAAAATATCAGCAGCAGATATCAGGGATTGGTTAATGTCAAAATAATCGCTATCGAACTTGGAAAAAAAAAAGAAAAATTAATCCTCCTAGAAGTTTTCTTTTTAAACTAAATAGAATAAAAGATGCATGGATCAGTTGGTCATAATTGGCTGATTTCCACATGATCAGCTTAGTGAGATCTGCGGAGGCCCAAATATTAAAAACTAGCTTTATATTAACATTTAGTGAATACATAAAAAAAATCCTTCGTTTTAGTCGCCAGAGGCATTAAAATGGTTTTTAAATGAATAAAAATCAGATTAAAGTTAGGGAACGGGGAGATGCCAATTCTTAATTTTCTGTTAAATCTAAAACTCCAAAGAACCAACAGATTAATTTTTCCCCCATTTATGTTTTTCTTTAGAAAAAACAAGCAGTTGGAATCCGTTACTTAGACCAGAGCATCCATCTGGGAAAACAAACCCCTCTCCAAATTATAGAAACTCACTCATTATTGCTGATGAAATCCAAGATGTCCTGTTCCAACTTTAGCAGCATGATTCGATCCCTGAAAGCAAGGACAGAAAAATATGAAGCCTCTGAGGAGCTTTGAAAACTAGAAAATCGCTCATTTTTAAAAACAGAATGCATTCGTCCAACTACAGTAATTCAAAATCAACACATAACCACTGGTCCAACGTTTCTGATGGGTTTGATTGTTCAAAAACAGTTCAGGGAAGTCAGCTTAAAAATAACAGTTAACTGATCTAAATCATTCCACTTCAAGGTTGTACAACCTGCAGTTGATCATGAAAAATGCATATTTAAATCAAAATAAAGAGAAATTCAATATATTTTGATTAGAAATTGCTTTAAAAAATTATGAATCCAGATTTATTTCCAGTTTTGCCAATTTTACATAAAAAAACTAACATTTCTTACAATTCTATGATGACTTGAACACATTTGCTTGCAATTTATGAGATACAGCCTAACCAAGAAGAGCATGACTGCCTTGTGGCATGAATGATAATCAAATTAATGGTAATTTAGTAAACAAACATCACATTTAAGCTCTCTGATAGTAAAATTCCTGCTTCATCATTTAGAAACATACGTTTGCATATTATAGAAACAAATTTTCACATATGCCATTAGCTTTAAATCTTACACAATCTTGTTTTTCAAACCTGAGATCTACTAAAATTGAAACTTTTTTTGCTTAATGAATGAAATGTGTTAAGCTTATAAGGCACAAAGTGTCCTTTAAAGTGGACTCAGCTTGGATTTATGGCTCCCAGGCTGCTTTGTTAAAAGTAAAAGCGAAACATTAAGTTATAGCCAAGGGAACTCTGTCAATGCAGCATTTCCAAACAAGTGAACTGATTTCATTGCAGACAATTAGGATTTTAAATGCTTTCACGACCGGATCATTAGACACAACAGATGAAGTCCTTAATGGGCAGAATGGTGCTGCACGAGTTGGAGCTTTTACCTGGGGTTGCTCTTCAGCGTGTTGACGAGGAACTCATGGAGGTCTATGCCAGTGGAATCAGTGTAGTCTTGACTTGAATCTAAGGAGACAGGAAAGAGGAACCGATTCAGTCACTCAATTATAGCATTACTCAGGTTTATTTATTTCCTCATAATGTTCTGCAGCATTCACTTCCACAACTAATGAGACGTTTTTAGCTAAAATTGAGTTAATGTGCAGCCTAACTTCAGGGTGAAAGTCCTCAGAAGGGAGATCATGCTGTTAGGTGGGCTATTAATGACGCCAACAAAGAGAGGCAGCTTCAAGGACCAGAACACTGTCAGAACAGCCGTTTAGGAAACCAATGAAAGAACACGCCTCGACGCGCCGACAAAAGGATAGTACCCATCGGAGGGAGATAAGGGACGCCAGAGCTCGTTCCCGTCTGTGGGAGTCTGTCTGCGTTCTATAATTGGAGGCTGCCTCATCAGCGGTGTTGCTCCACAGAGGAAACCAGACACCTTTCTGCGCCTGTGGGAATCCATATAATTGCTTCGCACCTTGAGCTTCTGGCAATTAACTGAATCATGCCAATTATCAGCCCATAATGAGATATCATTTAAAACGGAGGAAGAGCTTTTGGACAAACTGGGGGGACAGCGAGCTAAAAAGAAATGTTTAGGACTGGGTGTCCCTGGTGACGAGGCAAAGGATATAATTATTAGAAGGCTGTAATTTGCCTGAGTGACACAGATTGTGTGATTAGTGCCATTAAAGCCGTCGGCTTCGTTTGGATACATACACATCGGTGTCACCGCCGCCATTTTCGTCCTGGTGATATCAAAGGCGGCTGTGGTCGTTTTATACAAAGATCCAATTCTGGACTAGGATAAGAGAAGCACATTGATATTTCTGGCACTTTCCAAGTGAGCAATGTTTATAAATGAGGTCTCAGGTGGTCCAGGACGTAAAGATAATAGAGACGTTAATGGCAACAGCTCCCAAACTGTTTTCCTGACTTCAGCCAAAGCATATCTTCACAAGGAATCTCCCAGAGGACAGAGAGATCCAGACACACCAGAGGTTACCTACTTTCTCACGCTGGAAAGTTTCAGAACAATGTCCTAAAAAGGATTGAATAATTATTCATTAATAAATGCATTAACGACGGTGATAAATAAATAAAAAAATAAAAAAAATCATGGTATACTTCTATTACCATGACTTATGGGTACCATCTAGACTCAGCTTGATTAATACTGTACTGGCTGACCCGACTATTCTACCATCTTGACAATCAGTAGCTGTTAAATTTGACAAAATAACTGGTGGTAGAACTTTTAATGTCCCTTTAAATGAATCTACAAATGTTTATTTTACCTTTTAAAACTGATCAGGGCTTTTATGAACCTGTTCGTCTGTGGATGGGTTAAGCATGAAGCAAAGGGTCGATACATGGGAAGGTAGCTCATAATAACTAAGCACGGTGAAGGATGTCTAATGCTGTGGGCCCTTCTTCCAAAGGCCATATGAATCTCTTGCTCCCTTTAAAATTCTAGATTATAAATAAAAAGCTGGTGGATTCTTCATTTGACTGAAGGAAATCTAAGAGGTCTAAAATCAGAGCATTGGTTTAGTAGATATAAAATTGACCTTTTCCTAAAATAATCTCAATTCTCAGACCTAAATGTTGGAGAAAATATGTAGGTTGAAAGAACCGAATCAAATCTGGTTAAAGTTGGGTTTATCAACTATTTTAGAGACATATGGTGCTTCTGTGATGGGTGATTACTTTTAGGACTTTTTTGGGCTCTAAATTTTGTAGAATTTTTAAAGGAATAATTTACCAAAAATATGAAAATATGAAAAAATTGGGATTGAATCTAGTTCTTCACCTCTAGAGAGCATTTTCCTTGGCACCTTCTCTGGTTTGTCCACCTTGTCGCAGCCGCCTTCTTTCTCAGCTTGGTCCTTCGCGCCTCGCTCTTCGTTCTCACAGGGCGGGAGTCCATCCTGTTTGGGGAGGGGAGAAATATATTAAATTCCCGCTGTTGTCCTTTTTACAAGGTCAGCTCTTTGGTTGAAAGCTTGTACGGCAAATGGCTTTGATTTAAACATCGGGATAAACTAAAAATAACTCCCACAGTAAGGGCAGCGGGTGTTAACGTTTTCAAGAGTGTCAAATGCAAAAGTTGACCCCAGGTCTGCTTTGTATGACAGACAAGACCTTAATTTGAAAAGGAGGCATTCAATAAGAGCGTGATCTTGCCTCCGGTTCTGGGTTAATTAGACAACGGCATGTGTTAGAGAAGCGTCAGCAAGACACTTAATAAACTCTCTCTGTTTATCACTGAAACAAGCGATAATGCGCCTGCGTCCCTGAATTCCAAATTGCTATGGCAATTAATCTTCCAGATTAGCTTGTTTTTATTAAACAACCTGAATAATACATGAATCTGAGCCTAAAATTAAACAACGCAGCAGATTTCCTTCCATAAAATCCAACAGAATGAGGGGTTAGCCGTAAGCTTAAGATGACGAACTGCAAAAAAAAAAAAATCCGGAGAATCTTCTTAAAAAGATGGCCTTAGTTTGACTCGAGAAGTGCTCCTCTCTGCCTCGCACACTCATTTTCAACTTGGAGCTGTATCTGATTTGCTTTTCAGGCACTTTGACAAAAGCTGAAAGGGAAGCGGAGGGGTTCCCGCTGCACAGTAAGTGGATTAAGCACAAGTCTGGAAAGTTAACATCAGAGAGCCTCTAAGAGCCTCTGTGTGTGTGTGGCGTAAAGAGAAAGTGAATGAACCAGGGGGGGGAAAAAAAGGACCAACCTAGTGGTAGAAGAGCAGATCATAACGGAGGAGAAATAAAGGATCACGAGCTTGATCCCAGTAACAGCTGCGCAGCACATAATGAGATGCTGCAGTTGAAGTCTTTCCGAACGTATATGAAAATGTAATATGCAAATGAGAGATGTGACTGACTAATTGCCTGTGCGAGACTTACAGAGCTTTGGAAGTGACAGCAAGTTTGTGCGCACTCGTCAAAGCAAAAAAAAAGAACCCCCCCCCCCACCCGAAGGCAAGAAGCGCTGATGTTTGCTACTTAATGCCACCCTCCGCATCGCGTGGAAACCGGCAGGCTGATGTGCAGCTGTTGCGAGCTGCCTCGTTTGTTTCGTGACATCCATTTTACCTCCAGATAAAGGGAAAAACAGCGGGAAAATGATGGTCCTGCGAGAGTGTAATGAGCATGCTGTCAGTCTGAAACAAAAAAGGTACGGCAAGCATTCACAAGACCCCCCCCCCACCCGGCTACGGTTCATGGATCGGAGCTGACAGCCAGGTTCTCAGGCGACAGCAACGCCGACGACTCGGACAGCCTATGAGCCCTCTGTTAGTTCTTGCTTGACGGAGGAAACGGTATAATAAAGCGGAGAACAATGGAGGGTGTTCAGAAGTGAAGATCATAGAAGATTGATAGAGAATCGGTCCTCACAGAGCTGAATTTGTACTCCACTAATGCGTTTCTTTCTCGTCTCTTCCTTTATTGCGTTATGTTGGCCCTCTAGGTTAGTTTGGTGCTGAAGGAGTTTCGACCGATAACGGGAGTGGAGAGGGGGGGGTATAAGGAGTATTCAATTAAAGCGCTCCACAGCTCTCTGCAGCTGACGTGTGGAAATTGTAATTTCCCCGACATGATTGATGGCAGTAATACAGGACGTCGTGTGAGTGCAGACGAGGCGAGACTGTTGCGGGAATACTGTCGCGCCCTCTGGTCATGGGCCTCGGTGCTGACTGCTTTGAAATGGGGCGGACTCACCTGTGTGGAAACGCGTGTGCTGGGAGTTGTGCAGAGTGCCGTGTAATGGGAGATGTTTGATCGGCAGGTAGGGGTGGAGGGGGGGGGGGGAGGACTTCGCCTGGAGAAACGGTGTAGAAGCTTCATCGATTTAGTGAAGCGACGGCCGGCGAGCTGCTGGAGCTCAACGCCCCTTTGTTTTGATGATGCTATACTTTCATAAAGCAGCCGCAGACGGGTATTTAATCACAGCTGTCAGACAAAGGCTGCTAATCAAGCATCAGAGGTCTATCTGGGTAGTTTTAATGAGCTGAAATGAATTCATCATCCGCGGTCAGCACTTTTAACACGGGCTGATGTTTGGACAATATTCTTACCTTGGGTAAGATTAAACATCCATAACCAGTAAAAATTAGAGGTATAAAAACATTTAGAGCTGCAGTATCCTATTGTATCACTTCACACCCCTAAACCTATTAATCTGTTTGAGCAATTTCTTTGAAGGAGTCCAACCTGGCAGCATTTACTGACCAAGTTCTGAAAACCAATCAGATTGCGAGGAAATATCTTTATCCAAAAGCTTTTTTTTTTGGCCTTCAAGGCTTCCGTTTTAGAACAGAAGTTCCTATTAAAGACATATTAGGAAAATGGCACATAGTCGCATGTAAAAAACAAAACAAAAAAAACAACTAGTGCTCTCCATTAACGACAACTATTCTCACTGTAAATAGGTTATAATATTTATATAACATCTTTTCACCCACCTCCTGGCGGATACCTTTCTGCTGTCAACTCAATAACTGAAAGAGCAAATTCTGCATAAATACTAGACTAGCTGTACTTTAATTCATCTAATTCCAGGAGTTTAAAAATATAACTAAAAGTGTCTTCAATAAATATTAGTTTCAGGGAGTGAATCACCTATGAAGCTTTTAATTGCTGATATTTTACTTAACTTTACTTTTACTTTAATATACGTCACATTACAGGTAGAAAATAAACATAAAATGATTTTATTATTTATTAATCATATGGATCATTTCAACAGAAATGACGACGCCCTGCGTGTTAGGCTGAATCCCATCTAAAGCCTCACGATGTGTGTGAGTTTAGTCTAAGTTGCCTGTTTAATTTATCATATAAAATCATGCAAGAAGTGAATTTAGAATAAAAGCTTTTATCCAGAACTAGTAAAAGTAAAGTTTTTGTGAAACCCAATATTTTAGCTTTTGTTCTTTTTCAATCCGTGGGACTTTTGAAACCTTCTGCATTAATCTGCATCAAAAAAAAAAAAAAAAATAACCAAGGCAAAAACAAATAAATGAATAAAACAAATAAGGGTCAGAGTGCGTTAGGTATTACATTCCTTCAGTAAACTGACTTGTTAATGTGCAGGTCTTACAAGAAGGAGCACTGTTTAGTTGCCCTCACTGAGCATCATATTTAGCTTCTCCAGATGTTTTCGTTTGCTTCTGATTTGATCATTTTGACCTTTTGCCCCCTAAAAAACAACAAAAACTGAAGCCTAACCAATCCGATGGTAAGAAACCATACTGCATAATGCTGTTACTAAGATAATGTGCTCTTTAGGATGCTTTCTGTTATCACAAATCCACTCCTCCAGCCTGCCCTACACCCTGACGACATAAAGTAAGCCTGCAATGCGAAACCAAACAGTGACGCTTTGACTTCCATCAGCACTGGGCATGGGCTGTTACGGGTCTCTAGGTGTCCTATGGACAGTCACTTTTCCTTCCCTTTAATGTTCCTTTAATTAGCTCATCTGGGAACATAGGAGAGGGACTGGAGTTTTTCTAGCTTTATGCAGAAAAGCGGAACCATGCTATGATCTTGGGCTAATTGCACTCTGCAGATCAGTTGGATATAATATTGTTTTCACTCGATGTCTGTTGAATTTAGATAGTAGGTACTATAAACTTCCCCTTTCAGCTTTTCCCTTTCGTGGTTCAGTAACTGGAGCTTAAAAAATATACAAGGAAATTCTGGTGTTTCCTTGAGATTTATGATTCCTTGTATTAAAAAAAACTAGAAAAAGCTGTTTCGGAGAAACATCAAAGTGGGAATGCTTTTGCTGAATGAAAAAAGCTGAAATTACCTGAAGAACATATGAAAATGTGATGGGAAGTCATCAGAAACTTCAAACTGCAGAAAACAATTGAATCATCTGAAGATTTTGTAGGGTAGAATCATTTGGCAGTAAAATGGCAGAAACAAACTCATCTTAAAAGCTGCACAGCCAAACCATACATGATATCAAAAAATGTCTTGAATGTGGGCACTAGAAGGGTCTTAATATAATGTCTCCCAAGTTTCTAGAAAAATTTATAAAGAAATTTTGAAGGGGGGTTTACCTACTTTCCAGAAACATGTCAGGCGTGTTATGAATTAGCAGCAAACAGAAAAGCTTAATTCCTGTCCAGAAACAGAGCAGAATGAAGCCAAAGTTCACAACATAGGCTGAAAAGTATGAAATTAGCTGAAGTAGAAAAAAAATTACAAAGAAAAACTAATCTTATCTGGTTGAAGAAAAAAACAGTAGCTTAAGGATGGGAAGTAAAATGTTGAGGACGATGGTATTGAATAAGTATTATCATTTTGAAATCATATGTGGAAATGTCAAGACTTGGCAAAACAATTGGAAAATTATTTAAAATGTGTCGGTTGATCAGCATAAAGAAAACAGTGTCATCCTTAGAGGATTAAAAATCTACAAACCTACACTATATTGCCAAAAGTATTTGCTCACTCATCCAAATTATTGGAATCAGGTGTTCCAATCACTTCCATGGCCACAGGTGTATAAATTCAAGCACCTAGGCATGCAGACTGTTTTTACAAACATTTGTGAAAGAATGGGTCGCTCTCAGGAGCTCAGTGAATTCCAGCGTGGAACTGTGATAGGATGCCACCTGTGCAACAAATCCAGTCATGAAATTTCCTCGCTCCTAAATATTCCACAGTCAACTGTCAGCTGTATTATAAGAAAATGGAAGTGTTTGGGAACGACAGCAACTCAGCCACGAAGTGGTAGGCCACGTAAACTGACGGAGCGGGGTCAGCGGATGCTGACGCGCATAGTGCGAAGAGGTCGCCAACTTTCTGCAGAGTCAATCACTACAGACCTCCAAACTTCATGTGGCCTTCAGATTAGCTCAAGAACAGTGCGCAGAGAGCTTCATGGAATGGGTTTC